CCTGCAGCATCGCATGTATTTACCTATAGTATAATTGCTTGTACCTTGTGGGAGGCTTTGACTTAATAAATGCAGACTGAGGAAACCCTGCACTGCCTTTGGGTTAAATGAATTGCAGATCTAGCAGTGGAAGTTATTTAAGATAATATGTTACCTAACTAGGTTTTGATATGATGTAGAAAAATTATATAAAACTGATGCTGACTATGGACATTTACGGAAAACCTGCAAACCCTGATAAGTTTCAAGACCTTGAGTTCTAATCATAGATTAGTTGCATGCATGACTTCACAGCACAGACACAAATTTGGAGATGTCGACCATGCTTAAAAAAAACATTTACTACACTTACTCGGAGGAGTTTCTGATGGTTTTGTACACAGATCATCAAATACATGTGTGATGACATGCTGCAATTTCAGTTCCGAGAAATCCTTGACAAAGTGAATCCTTTTATTGGAAGAGATCTGTAACAGCCTCAAGCGGCCCTCCCCATCATATTTTCCTATGCCAATCACGATGATATGAATTCCTTTTGCCTTCAGTTTTTCTGCGGGAATCCAATACTCGTCATGTGAATCCCCATCTGTGATCACCAACAAGTTTTGGGGCACCCTCTGGCCAATCCTGCTGCCGGCACTGGCTGTGAAGAAGTTTGCCACGAATTCCAGAGCTTTCTGAAGCTTCGTCCCTTCCTCCAGCTGCTTCACAGGTTTGATCGCATTTATGACAGCATCCGCAGTATAATGTTCATTAAGGAAGAACTCAGCCTGAGCATTGGAACTAAACTGTGCCAGGCCTACCCTCCAGCGATCCTGGCTAATAACCAGCTTGGACACAAGGTTAGCCATGAAGTTCTTGGTGATCATGAAGTTCTCGTGGGAAATGCTCTCTGACCCATCGATCAGCATGACAAGGTCCCCTTTAGTCAGTGTACATTCTAAATGATGAGCAAGAAACGTTTCAGAAACACACTATACATATGTTCAAGCACTTTTGTCTTTGCTTTTTAATAACAATTGAGCAATTTAAAAAAAAAGAGTACTATGCCTTTAAGATAGATATGCTTTTTGAAAATCTGCTAAAGTTCTCTTTGGTAATACTGGAGTTAGGACTCTATTGCTACTTATAAAAGAACTGTATTAAACAATAAACACAATCATGGTAAATACTGTAAGGATCCTACAATGTTGGTTTATCTTTGGCCTCATCATGAGCTTTGCATTTAGCATTTCCCAACCATAACTGTGTGCCGGTATAATACAACTAATGCCTCTGGTTAACACAAAAAAATAGGCCTACCTGGTTTGGATATATTGCAGATAGCTTGGGAGAGAGTCTTCTTAATTCCAGGTAGAGAGTCATACTTATTTACATAGTAGACCTTACTTTCATTGCCAGTCATAGTCTCCAGTTCAGATTTGATAGCACCTGCTACGCCGATTGCATAGACATTAATGCCAGCATCCAGAACACCCCTGGATGCCACTGGCAGCGCAACAGCATCTGTGGCCCGGCCATCTGTTATCACCATCAGGATCTGGGGAACACCTTCATCTCTGCGGCCACCATGCTCCTTACCAAAATATATCTTGGAGAACTGGAGGGCTTTGGAGGTGTAGGTATTGCCCCGAGAATTCGTCAGGACACTAAGGGCGCTTCTCACTGCAGTCTTGCTGGTGTGTTTCGTCATATTGAAAAGCAACTTGGGATCGTTAGCATACCTGATGGCCCCAATGCGCACTCGATTCGGTCCCACGTCAGTGTCGTTAATTAAGGACACCATGAATGTCAACATGCTCTGGAACTGGACATCGCTGATGCTGCTAGAGCCGTCTATCAGGAACATTATGTCTGCCACCTCTGTTTTGCACTCTGTTTGAAAGGAACATCCATAACACCATGTGAAACACAATGATTAAGGACACTGTATTGGTGATGACTAGGTACATTGCTTGAACAGGTTCATCAGTGTAATAAATCGTAATCGCTACATGTAAAGAAGAACGTCTCTTCCAAATCACTGTAAGAACTGGTATATATCTAGCATATAGGATATATCTATAATATATCTATTATAGAGGATGTAGATATACACACTGTGTACACTTATTTTTATAATAAAAATGCTTACCGGTTTTTTCACAGATTCCAACAAGGATTTTATTTTCTAAAAGCTTTAGGGCATCAAAGTCTTTTTCAAAGAAGACACTGTCCCTTGAACCGGTAATTTCCACCAGTTGGGTGAGGTGTGCCTCAGCCACGCCAATGCAATATATATAAATCCCCTTATCTCTCAGTGCCTCGGCAGGGATCTTTACGTCATCCTGGGCCTCCCCATCGGTGATGACGATCAAAATCTGATTAACGCCTTTCCTGGATTTTTCAAAGTACTGAGACAAGTCGGTGAGGGCAGCACCAGTTAGGGTGCCAGAGCCTAATTGCGTCATTTGATTAATGGCCGTCGTTATACTTGCTTTGTCATAGAATGTTTTCTGATCAAATATCAGTTCTGGTCGATCACTGTACTGCACAACTCCTAAATTAACTTTATCCTGACCAATGTCTGACTTGTTCACAATGGAGACCATAAATGCCTTCATTTTATTATAGTCCTCAGGGTCAATGCTGCCAGAACTGTCGATCAGGAACATGATGTCTGCAATGACTTCCTTGCATGCTATAAGGGAAAAAAAAACACAATCATGTTTGATCATCAGCATGAAATGAAAGTGTTAAGCAATGGTACACGTTCACATATTTGATATTCAGAAAACATTCTACTTTTTTTCAGAACTTTCTATAATAAAAATATAAACTAGATACCTTCCTGGGAACAGATATCTTGGACCACATGATCCTTGATGGGTTTCAAAGCATCGAAATTATCGATGAAGAACTTCTTGTCTTCAGAGGTGGCGATTTCACTCAACTGTTTTTCATCAGCATCTTTGATACCAATGGCATAACTGGTGATGCCCTGGGTTTTTAATCCTTGGGCCGGACCAATAACAGAATCCGTTGACTTTCCATCCGTGATAGTGATCAGGATCTGAGGCACCTTTTCTCCCCGAGTCTCGGCCGCCTTCTGGAATAGTGCTGACATGGAGAACAGAGCTTTTCCTGTCTCTGTACCCCCACCAACCTGATGCACCTGCTGCACTGCCGTCTGCAGTTCCTGCTTGTCGGTGTATCGTGTCAGCTCGAACTCTGTCGTGGGATTATCGGCGTACTTCACCAGGCCTATCCTCACCTGATCTGGTCCGATCTTGAACATCTTGATGAATTCTGAGACAAAGTCTTTCATTTCCTTAAAGTCAGGGGGATGGATGCTCCCAGATTGGTCAATGAGGAAGTAAATATCAGCCTCCTCTGTTTGAGTACATGCTAACAAATTGAAGTACCAATAAGGAGAGAAAGAAACATAGTTATTATGCTGCATTATTAGTTGACAGAAATCACTGCTCACAAATTAAACCAAAAAACTACTTAGGAGGAAGAAAATACTCAGCTGTACTAAATATACAATTTCAACATTTTACTACAAGTCTTGTTCTTATATTAGTATTACGTATCAGTTTCAAGAAATCTGACATCACAGTCTTTGACTGTGTCAGGGCTGCGTCATTCTAAGACTGCATTCAAAGACCAGGTGTACAAGGCCATCCCATTTCGAAGACTTCTTCAAATGCAGTCTATGTCACATCCCTCCGTCCAGCCCTCTCATGTGCCACGCCCACCTCGTCACCCTCGTGTGAATTCCCAACGTATCAGCTGTCCTGCGTTCAATCTGATGTCATGTCCTGTATTTCAGTCCGCGTTCTAGTCCGTTTCCCCAGATCTGTCATTGCAGTTTCGTGTCCTCGTCTGCCGTGTGATCCCTGTCTGCTCGTTTTCCCTAAATAAACCCGCTACCTTTGGATTCCCGTCTCCCTGACCCTGACCCTGCTTCCCTTGCTTGCTCGCCAGTCACACGGATCGCGACAGTCTAGGAATGCATCCTTTTTTTGTGAAGAGTTGGATTCCACCTGTTGGATCCTTTGCAGCCCAGCATATCCCAAGATTTATTGTGCAGACCTTCAAAGGACAGTCTACAAAGGCTACATAGACCACAATCTTCGCCGGATGTAGCCCCTGAATGCAGACAGCGCCTTTATCCATATATGGCCCTTATTTGGAGTGCAGCTCCACCTCCAACCATTTTTTCTTAACTTCCCAAGATTTAGTAAAATTCAAAGTGAACAATTTAATAAAATGTCACTTTTGTACTAAGTATGTTTTCTCATCAGCGTTCATGTTACTTTTTATTAGTGGCTCTGACCAGATATTAATTTCTTGAGTGGATGAGATATGCACGACACCTTGATTTCTGACCTGTGTTTTTGTATTTTGATTTATTTTACTTACCGTACTACTGCCAAAATATATCTATT